CACACCCATAGCAAACATGATAAATTCTGTCACACCAGGGTGTGACAGACACCACACCATAGCAAACAGGGCGATTCTGCCACACCCTATCACATGTGTGTGGCAGACACCACACCAGGGTGTGGTGGAGTCTGTCATGCTTATTTTTCACGTGTTTGTTGATTTTGATTCTAGGTTTGGGTCTCCACTCTCAAGACTAACAATCTCCCACTTGGAGACTAAACCACCATCAATGAGCTCGCCCGAGCTCCGTCTTCTTCGCAAGCATCTTCTCCTACTTGGAAAAATCTATTCTTCAATCATCATCAACCCGACGACCCCGACGATCCCGACGATCCTCCTAGTGTGGCTCCGCTTTCATCTCTTACGCATGAAGACCAACTTCGTCTCGGAGTCTGTTTCAAATCATATAAGCTCTTCTTGAGCTTGCACATCATCTCTTCCTTTCCTTCTTCAATGAAGCCAACAGTCTGCCTCATATAGATTTTTTCATCCAAATCACCATGAAGAAAGACAATCTTCACATCTAATTGCTCAAGGAAGAGGTCTTCTGCAGCTACCAAGCTCAACACCACTCTGATGGTTGTGAGCTTTACAACAGGGAAAAAATATCTCTGTGTAGTCCACTCATTCCCACTGTTAGAACCCCTTTACAACTAATCTGACCTTGTACCTCTTGCTTCCATTACTCTCTTGTTTGACTCGGTAGACCCATTTATTATGCAAGGCTTTCTTCTGTGCAGGTAGCTGGGCTAATTCCCATGTCTCGTTAGTGAGTAGAGAATCCATCTCCTCCTGCATCGCATGCTCCCACTGTTGAGATTCACTCACTTGCATAGCCTCCTCATAGCACTCCAGTTCACCGCTATTTGTCAACAATAAGTAATCAAGAGATGAAAGATATCTAGGATTCGATTTGGGTACCCTGGATGACCTCCTAAGCTCCACGTCCTGGGTAGTTGCTTCTGCACCTGTAGCCTCCTCCATTCTTCTGTCAGAACAAACATCATCACCCCTATCTGGAAGTTTCTCTAAATCCATGTACTTAGATCCACCTGCATCGGAAGTGTTGCTCCCATTGCTTTGGCTATCCTTGGTAATTTCTCTATCCTTGTACATCACCTCCTCATTGAATATGACGTCTCGGCTCCTGATGATCTTCCTGTTCTTCTCATCCCAAAAACGATACCCGAACTCATCAATGTCGTACCCAATGAATGTACATTTTTGTGACTTAGCTTCTAGCTTGTCCCTGACATGGTTACTGATGTGAATATAAGCCACACAGCCAAATACCCGCAAGTGTGAGAGATTGACCTTCTTGCCACTCCAAACCTTTTCTGGAATCCCAAAATCCAATGGAACTGATAGCCCATGATTAATAAGGTAAGCCGCCGTATGCATCACATCCACCCAAAATGTTTTAGGTAGACCTGCATGTAATTACATGCTCCTGACATGCTCTGTCAATGTTTTGTTCATCCTCTCCGCAATACCGTTCTGCATCTCTTCCTTTCCTTCTTCAATGAAGCCAACAGTCTGCCTCATATAGATTTTTTCATCCAAATCACCATGAAGAAAGACAATCTTCACATCTAATTGCTCAAGGAAGAGGTCTTCTGCAGCTACCAAGCTCAACACCACTCTGATGGTTGTGAGCTTTACAACAGGGAAAAAATATCTCTGTGTAGTCCACTCATTCCCACTGTTAGAACCCCTTTACAACTAATCTGACCTTGTACCTCTTGCTTCCATTACTCTCTTGTTTGACTCGGTAGACCCATTTATTATGCAAGGCTTTCTTCTGTGCAGGTAGCTGGGCTAATTCCCATGTCTCGTTAGTGAGTAGAGAATCCATCTCCTCCTGCATCGCATGCTCCCACTGTTGAGATTCACTCACTTGCATAGCCTCCTCATAGCACTCCAGTTCACCGCTATTTGTCAACAATAAGTAATCAAGAGATGAAAGATATCTAGGATTCGATTTGGGTACCCTGGATGACCTCCTAAGCTCCACGTCCTGGGTAGTTGCTTCTGCACCTGTAGCCTCCTCCATTCTTCTGTCAGAACAAACATCATCACCCCTATCTGGAAGTTTCTCTAAATCCATGTACTTAGATCCACCTGCATCGGAAGTGTTGCTCCCATTGCTTTGGCTATCCTTGGTAATTTCTCTATCCTTGTACATCACCTCCTCATTGAATATGACGTCTCGGCTCCTGATGATCTTCCTGTTCTTCTCATCCCAAAAACGATACCCGAACTCATCAATGTCGTACCCAATGAATGTACATTTTTGTGACTTAGCTTCTAGCTTGTCCCTGACATGGTTACTGATGTGAATATAAGCCACACAGCCAAATACCCGCAAGTGTGAGAGATTGACCTTCTTGCCACTCCAAACCTTTTCTGGAATCCCAAAATCCAATGGAACTGATAGCCCATGATTAATAAGGTAAGCCGCCGTATGCATCACATCCACCCAAAATGTTTTAGGTAGACCTGCATGTAATTACATGCTCCTGACATGCTCTGTCAATGTTTTGTTCATCCTCTCCGCAATACCGTTCTGTTACGGTATCCCTAGAGTAGTCCCCTCTAAGCGAATCTCATTCGTACAAACTTAAACTCCTCCAGCTCGCATTCTCCACCAATGTTTGATCTCAGACACTTCACCTTCAGATCTATTTCGTTCTCCACCATGACCTTTCACTTCTTGAAGACTCCGAACACCTCTGGCTTGTGCTTCATAAAGTAAACACACACCTTCCTTGAGTGATCGTCGATAAAGATGATATAGTATCTCGAATCGTCAAAAGAAGACACACTGGCTGGACCACATACATCTATACGAATCAACTCTAGATTTTGAGCCTTAGGTGGCCTTCCACCCTTCTGAAAACTAACCCTCTTCTGTTTCCCAAAGATGCAGTCTTCACAAACCCCAACTTCTACGGAATCGATCCCAGTTAGTTTTCCCTGTTAATGTAGAATTTTTTCCCCTTCTCGCTCATGTGTCCCAATCTGTTGTGCCACGATCCGTACTCTCTTTGCCAGCTGCAATTGCGAGGGTGTCACTCGCATGTGAGGCGAGGTAGAGTATTCCTGTTTTGTTACCTCGGGTAACAACCATTGTACCGTTAGAAATCCTCCATGAATCCCCGGTGAAACTCAAAACGTAGCCTTCTGCTCCAAGTTGTCCTACCGAAATAAGATTTCTCTTCAACTTCGGTACGTGTTTCACGTTCTTTATGTTCCACTTAGAACCCTTTATCTGAATCTGCACGTCGCCCTTTCCAATAATATTACAGGGTTCATTGTCCCCCAAATACACTTTTCCAAAGTCCTCTGCTAAATAATTCTGAAGAAGCATCTTATTAGCAGTGGTGTGGAAAAAGAAGCTCCTGAGTCGATGACCCAAGAATCCGAATCGCTGTCTATAGTAAGGATCAAAGCATCCTACACAATATGAGCCTTCTGCTCACCCGCATCCTTCTTTGGACTTTTGCAGACTGAAGACATACGGCCCTCCTGGCCGCAGTTCCAACACTTCCCTTGATAGGCCTAACTTTCGAGTTTGACCTCTTCTTCAACTTCGACCGATTACTGTTCTGGTTTCCTTTCTTCTGGCTTCTGCCTCTTTGCTCGAAACTTAGAGCTGAACCTAAACCTTCTGATTCGGACGATTTTCTTCTAACCTCATCGGATAGAATCATGCTAACAACCTCACTCAGCTTTAACTTCTCTTTCCCCTCCGAATTGCTGATTGTCGTCACATAACCTGCCCAACTATCCGGCAAATGCGATAGAATCAATAGGGCTTGCACTTCGTCATCAAACGTGATGTCCACGGAGATAAGTTGATCAACAATCGTGTTGAACTTGCTGAGGTGCATCGTGAAGGATCGTCCTTTTGCTATCTTGAGGTTGAAAAGAGTTTTGACGAGATACACTTTATTTGCGGTTGCTCGTACATCTTCGTGAGCGCTTCCATAAGCCCTATCGTTGTTTTCTCCTTTTAATATGTTGTGTGCGACTGTCTTAGCGAGCGACAACCGGATTTGCCCTAGAGCCTTCCTATCCAGTATCTCCCAATCATCGTCTGATTCCTCTTTCTTCTGTCCCTTATCATTGCCCATCAACGGGCGATACAAGTCCTTCTGGTACAGATAGTCCTCCATCTGTGACTTCCAGTAGGCGAAGTCTGAACCGTCAAACTTCTCAATCTTAGATTTAATTTCCTTTGTCATGGCTCTCTTTCTCACAAATTTCCTGAACGAAGCTCTGATACTAGTTGTTGGGGGTTCGAAACAATCAAATCGAATCCATACTCTTCCGGATCTTGTGTTTGAGAGTTGAGCAAGAAAGAAATTCACCACAAATCAAAGATGAAAACTTGTAAGAAATAAGAATCAGAAAAAACACACCAGATTTAACGAGGTTCGGCAATGTGCCTACGTCCTCGAGAGCCACACCACAGAATTCTTTGATTAATTGAAGAAGATTACAATGCTCGCAATTGGCCCCTCTCTCTATCTCTCTAAGATTTTGATCTCAAAGAGCCCTCAAAACCTTTTTTTTCGTGTTCTTTTCCTCTCCTAAACTTTAGAGGGACGTGTTTCTATTTATATCAAAACATAATTTCAAACAGATTAGAATTCTAAAACGAGTCTGCTACACCCGGGTGTGGTGCGAACCACACCCATGACAAACAGTGCAGATTCTGCCACACTAGGGTGTGGCAGACACTATACTCATGATAAACATGGCAGATTCTATCATATCCTGTCACATGGGTGTGACAGACACCACACCAGAATGTAATGGAGTATGTCTTGCTTATTTTTCACATGTTTGTTGATTTTAATTCTAGGCTTGGGTGTCACTCTCAAGACCACCAAACGGGAGGCTGCGGCAAAGTTCAAGGGAGGCTGCGGCAAAGTTCAACTCCAAGACGAAGAATAGTACTCCGCCCACGAGCTCCTTGTGTAACCCACGTGTCCTCCACACTTTCTCTCTCTTAATAATTGTACTCTGTACATATTCCCCGTTCTCTCTCTCTGTTAAAACCCTTTTCTTTATCCTTTAAATTCCCCAAAAAATTCTCCCAATTAAACACTAATGGCGATGTTAAGAGCTGGGAAGCAAGTGATTCAAGCACTAGGATCTAGGGTTCCGAGCTCATCTACTTACTCAAAGCAGCTCCATGTAAAAATCTGATCTTTTTTCTCTTAGTTCTGGCTCTTTTTGAAGCGTTTCTGAGTAAAGTTAGTGCCTTTAGTTGATTTCTTGTTCCCTTTGTTTTAAAGTTCCGATCTTGCAACTTTTTGTCTTTGAGTTTTCAGTTCAATTGTTTATCTGCAGAGTTTATTGTTTGCTTTTAACCTTCTCTTGTAATTTAACTTCGCAAAATTAGTATCTTTTGAATGCTGTCTTTAGTTTTTTTTTATCTTTTGTGACATTGAATTTTTTTTTATAGATTTTTCTTTTCTTTTGTCATAGTTAGTTAATTGCATGTTCTGTTTTATTTGATTTTTAAGTTTAATCATGGTTACAGTCATTATTTGCTTGCTATCCAACTGTTAGAAAGCAAAATATAACCTCCACCCTCTCAGCATAACAGTTTTGGTGTAATGGTTAAGGAAACTTTAAGATGGTATCAGGTTCAAATCCCACTGGCTACGAGTATAAAGTGATATTCAAAAAATTGACACCGCTGTGTGAGTCTATGATCAAAGTCTGCGGGGGCATGTTAGAATACAAAATATAACCCTCAACTCTCACCATAACTTCAAAGTTTTGTTGTAATGGTTAGAGGGACTTTAAGACCCACTAATTTAATGATGTTTACTCCATTTTTTTAAAGCTATATCTCCTGTCACTAGATTGAAAATTGAGAGCCTTTTTATGCTTAATTATAGTATTTTAGTGACTCTTTTTGTGGATAATGGAGTAGTTGAGTGATGATAGTTTACTAATATTTATGCTATTTTCTAATTATGCCATCAAGTTCAACCAATTGAAAACCGAAGTACCATAGTTGTGATTTTTAGGCATTGAGTTTGGTATCAAGATAAAGATTGACCTCTTGGGTGATCCTAACATTTTAGTAACTATAGTTTATTGATAATGTAAGTTTATTGATTGATGGTAATTTTCATAAAATTACAGGCTTCACCGGGGAGCAAGAAAATTGTCGGGGTATTCTACAAGGCTAATGAGTATGCGGCGATGAATCCGAACTTTGTAGGGTGTGCAGAGGGGGGATTAGGTATTCGAGAGTGGTTGGAATCTCAAGGTCACCAATACATTGTTACTGATGACAAAGAGGGCCCCAGTTGTGGTCAGTGTATGCAAATCTCAATTATTTGTGATAAGCGCAAATTATAATATGCTAAACCTTAAGACATTTTTTTGGGTCGAAAGTGGTGTTCAATGATTGGGATTAAGTTACCCCTTAACCACAATGAATGCATAAGGTCAGACTAAATTTGATTTGATCTTCATAGTTATACTAATCAAATCTTGAGGCAGCATGTTTTGAGATGATTAAAAGCCTGCATTAGCATTTAAATTTTACAAACAACACAAGTCTTGGTGAACAAACAATCATTTTTTTCTAAAATTTTTAATTGAAAAAATTGTATCATATCCCTTCTTTGTTGTCACATCAATCTACTCATGAGGGCAGGTTCTGAAACAATTGAAAGCTTGCATTAGCATTATCTTATGCAAACAAGACAAGTTTGCTAGAAATCATTTCGTTATTTTTAAAATTTTGAGGGAAAATTTGTTTGATGCCCCCATTCTGGTCTGATGTCTTACTTACCAGGCCAGCAGCAGTCCCTTATGAAGGGGTTAAAGCAAGTTTTTTTTCAGGGGAATGGATTTCTATATGGGGTGCTGCAAGAAAGTAATTTGGTCAAATAGTTTTCTAAAATTAGATAAAACATGGATCAAACAAGGCAGATTTATCTTCAAAACTAGCGGTCTTCCTCAATTTATATGAAAAGTTAAAGAGGCTAAAAATTTTGTTATGGTCGGCTAATTCATATTAAGTTTAACAAATTGTACAATTGCAATGTTAGATAAATAGCACTGTTTTTCTTAGAGACAGTTGACTATGAGTACCATGTTTATTCTCATGACAGCTACAACTACCTTATTGTGTACCTAGTAGGATTTTTTTCCCTATGTCATGACTCATGAATTTTAATAGCGTATATGCATTTTATCCCCATTTATCTCTTTCCTGTCTAATGTGTGTTAAATTGCTTTTATTTGGAAAATTTTCACAAAACTACCATGAACTTTCGGGTGTTTTGCACAAATCTACAATAAACTTGTTTTATAAGAGATAACTACCATGAACTTTTTTCACTAAACTATCGTGCCTAACGTCCGTGAGCGTAAGTTGATATGTGCTTCGCATGTGACAGGTTTTGGACAATTTTCCCTAACGCCCGAGCTTTGTGGCTTGATAGATATAATAAGAGTAGTTTAGACCTTTTATCCAAGACATTAACGTTGTTAGCAACAAATTCCAGTAGTTTACTGTATCTTTGTGAAATTGCCAATTACTCTTTGTTCAGAGCTGGAGAAGCACATCCCCGACCTCCACGTCCTCATCTCCACCCCCTTCCACCCCGCTTATGTCACCGCCGAGAGAATCAAGAAAGCCAAGAACCTCCAACTCCTTCTCACTGCCGGAATCGGCTCCGACCACATCGACCTACCGTTGCCGAGGTCACTGGAAGCAACACCGTCTCAGTAGCCGAAGACGAGCTCATGAGAATCCTCATCCTCGTTCGGAATTTCTTGCCCGGGTATCACCAAGTTATTCAGGGGGATTGGAATGTTGCGGCTATTGCACATAGAGCTTATGATCTTGAGGGAAAGACGATTGGGACTGTTGGTGCTGGGAGAATTGGGAAGTTATTGCTGCAGAGGTTGAGACCGTTTAATTGCAATCTATTGTATCATGATAGGTTGAAGATGGAGCCTGAGCTTGAGAAGGAGACGGGGGCGAAGTTTGAGGAGGATCTAGATGCTATGCTTGGAAAGTGTGATGTGGTTGTGGTCAATACACCATTAACGGACAAGACTAGGCGAGTTTTCGCTTGAATTTTTTTTTTGATATTTTCCCTATGAAATTAAATATTCTACTGGTTTTATCTTTGATTATCGAAATCCAAAATATTTCAAGTAAGCGCTCTTTGTCGATATATTATCATCTGATACAACATCAGTTTTACACTTGAGCAAGCAAATTTTATTTAATATAGTTCCAAGGTCACTTCCTTTAGTTTTAATTTAACGACACAAATAACTCTGCGTTTGATGTATAATGTGTTGGGAGTGTCTTGCATTCATTCAGTTTGATGTGTCAGTTTGGTCTAGCGAAGGCATGAAATAGGATTCAGTTAATTACATAAACTGAGAAAATAGATGACAATCATAGAGAAACAGGTTTCACAAATGTAGTTGCTCTGATAATGAGCAGCCTAAAATAGGAAGGGGGTCTTAGTAGAGCTAAACCAACAAAAAGGATTCATACAATTGATCCTGAATCGGTTTGGGGTGAATTTTTTATTATTGTCGTGTCTCACCAAAATTGAGTACTGTGATTCAGTAGCTGTGTGTTTTTTAACTAAAATTTATTGTTCCTAATTTTCTCTAAATTTGGTGCATCAGGGGGATGTTTGATGCGAATAAAATTGCAAAGATGAAGAAGGGAGTTCTCATTGTAAATAATGCCCGAGGAGCTATCATGGATGCTCAAGCCGTTGCAGATGCTTGTGCCAGTGGTCATATTGCAGGTATCTTTCACTGATATGTTTTCTGATTCAAGAATTAAATAACACTGAGATATATTAAAAAGGAATTGCTTCATAGATGTTAACAATGTTAAGCATGCCAATCATAACAACAACAATAACAAAGTCTTTATGCCAATTTATCGATAATACTACGATCGACACACAAAGTCTACTGTATGTCAACCTTGAGGAAACCATGAGAATTTGTTAAGGGCATCTCTCGAACAAGTTATCATACACATTAGACATCAACAAATTTCACAATAGTAGTACATTTTACTTTTCTTGTAAGGTATATTTTGGTGAGTTTTTATCTTGTAAGCTTTATTTTGGAAGATGATCTGTATTGTTTTTTCTCTTTAGGCTACAGTGGTGATGTATGGTACCCGCAACCTGCCCCAAGTGATCATGTATGGCGACACATGCCCAACCATGCAATGACTCCTCATATTTCCGGCACAACTATTGATGCTCAAGTAAGTTATTATTGCATGTTGTCCTCTCCTTATGTAGCTTTTTGTTTCATAGAAATCGTGAGCTTCTTGAAATCCCATCTACACACTAGAGCTCCAAATTGTAAAAGTTTCAGCGCAATAACTTTATAGCCTAACATGTATGGGGACTTGAAGATTGATACTCAAGTAAGCTATTATTTGCTTATTGTCCTCTCTTTATATTAATTTTGTTTTCACCAAAATGTTCGAGCTTCTTAAAGTCGCTTCCGCTGTACCAAAACTTTGAAGTTAGAAGTTATGCTGAATGTTGAGGGTTGAAATTTTATAGTCTAACATGTCAAATACGTACGAGGACTTCAAGATTGTATCAGAACAATCCGGTTTCAAATCCCTCTAGGTACAATTAAAGCAATTTTTTGGAAAAAGTGTCACCGTGTGTAGCTCAGGTTTTGTAGAGAATGCTAGAGCATAAAATTATATAACTTTCAATCTTGTCACGACTTCACAATTTTGTTGAAGTTTCCTCCACTACATCAAAACTCCAAGTTTAAGTTGTGACGAGGAATGAGAATTATACTTTGATACTTCTAACATTCTACTGCAGGTTAAGTGTTCTTTTCTTGGGTTAGATCCAAGCTTTCTAGCAGAGTATGTATCATTCTATATATCATATATATATATATATATAATATATATATATATATAGATATATATATATATATATATATATATATATAATAGATACATAACACAATACGCTATTATATTCATCCCTCCTACCTACAATTCTACGTATATAATATATATATGACCACATACGTCATAATACCTCTATATCAATCTCCCTCCTTCTAACATTCTTACGCGCCAGTTAAGTATTGTATCTTTTCATTGAGGTTACGATCCAAGCTTCCTCTAGCAGGTATATTTATATTATATTTAATATATATATATATATATATATAATATATATATATATATTATATATATATATATATATATATATAATATATATATCATCACCTCTGTCTACACAATATTCCTCACGAGCTAGCTCTATCGTATCAAGGCTAAACAAGTCCTGGTTACGGTTGGTATTAGAGCCAAGTTAGTCGGTGGAGGAGTCGGTCTGCGGTGGTGAAACCATAAGCCCCGTCAGCCGATGTATATCCACACTGTAAGAAACAACTTGTAGATATTTGTAGTAAAAAACTACTACAAATACTGTATTTTTGATAGCTTTAATTTTGAAGCAACTTCTTTAGAGCTTTAATTCTAAGCTTTTTATTGTTTAGCCTCATTACTTTACAATAGCTTTAATCTTAAGCACTACTCTTGCTTTACTGCTTTCTTTGAATTGAATTTTAATTCTCTACATTTTCTAGTATGATCTAGGATCTCTTGCATCCTCTAGTTCTCTTTCATTGTTCTCATTTTACTTGTCTTCGTTTCAACTTACACAACTTTGTTCTGTGTTCATCTGATGTTGTTGACTGGTGGGGACACTGCGAACTTTTTAGAGTCTCTTCTTTTGCTTTATATCTAGCTTGTTAACCTTTTTCTATCTTCTTTAAGTCTTTATTCTCTTAACTAGTTGTCGCAGTTCACACGGTTTTCGCCCGCTAAGCTTTGTGTGCGCCTAGGGCTTTTCTGTCCGTGTTTATCCCTTGCTGTTGACAGATTAAGTTTTAAAGTCTTTCTTAAGATGTCTAAGTTTCTAAGCTATCTCTCTCCTGACAAAAAGAACACCTTTGTAAGAACCATGTCGGTTAAAAACTCAGAATCCTTAGATTATGAAAATATTGATCAAAGCATTCAAAATTGGAAAATGCCTGAAGTTAGTACTAATGATATCTATTGTAAAGAAGGTTTTAAACTAAAAACATCATATCACGTTAAAACCATTAAAAAAACAAAAACTGTAACCTCTCACACAAAGAAATTACAATTACTTAGTGATAAAGATATCCAAAGAATCACTGAAGACCCTACTCTTAAATTCCTTCATCTTGGTCTTGTTCAAGTGTCTATTAGACCCCTTACTAGAAATGACATCAACACCTCTGTTCTTGTTTGTTTACGAGACGGAAGATTCTCTATTTTTACAGACTCTTTAATAGGTCTAATTGAGTCAAGCCTGAGCAATGGCTTGATATTCTTTAATGCCTTTCCAAACTTCTTAGTTTCTTTATCAGACCCTGGCATCCTCAAAGTTCTAACCTTAAATCTTTAAACCTCTGGATTCAACATGGATATTAATTCTGAGAATATAGCATTAACCTATAGAATCTGCTATAAAGCCATGAACACGCTCACACCTTTAGCTAAGGTGAACCCTGAGAAAGGAGCAACTACTTTATTTCTTACCCACGCTAAAAACAATCTAGTTGTACCACGAACTTTAAAATGGAATGAAATTCAACTTCCTTAAGTTTGGAAATTAAGTCAAGTCATTGAACCCTTACCCCCTGAAAATTCTAATCTTTAAAAAATTATTGAACATCCTAATGGTGATGTCGAGGTTAACTTTTCTTCGTTTAGAAAAATTACTCTTGAAGCTAATGATGAACGACGTACCTCAGTTTCTTCAATTCCTTCTTGAGAAAAAGATTTCTTTAAACACAAAAAACCAATAGGAATTAAATATAATATGGAGCCAACTGCCATTTATGATGATTCTGATTCATCAAGACTAAGTATTAATGTTATTGAAAACTTTGATGGTACACCTCCTTTTGAGATTGATAAAGAATTCCTAAGAAAAGAATTTAATTCCCCTAAAAACCAACACAAAAAGGAATGATTTTTTAAAACTTATGAAGAGGACTTTAGGTCATCAATTCGAGCCCTATATTATGATTGTATGAAAACCATTAGAAAAAAATAACCTTTTTCTTATGGTATGAGTTTATTTACATTGAAGATCAAAAGAATTCTCTTAAACATTTACCTACTGAAAACCAAGCTTATATGCTAAAAAAGATTTCAAATACGTGGAAAACAGAAAAGGATAAAGAAATTGAATCTTTACATTCTCCTCTTGAACCAATAAAAATTGGTAAATCTAAAGAAGAAGTAAATGCTACTCCTATAAAAACTCTTGAGTCAAATTCCAACACAGCCAGACAAGAACATATCTCTCTGGTTATTGAGCAAAATAATTTTACTAACATTCATCTCCAAACCATACGCAAATAAACAGATAGAATTGAAAACATGCTTCTCGACATGAAAAAACCTATCACCAATCAGATATTTATGCCACCTTTTGCTCCTCAAACTTTCACTGTGAATATTAAATTAGGTAATAATAAACCTTTTAAACTAAGTGAAAAATGAGTAATCTTACTGAAGAGTTAACTAAGAGATTAAAAGACTTATCTTTAAACAAATCTCCCGCCATCAATGTTTTGTCAGAATATGAAACTCGGCTTGATAATACAATTGACTATCCTTCTGATTATAATGAAACCATCCAAAACATCAGAAAACAACCTTCTAGCTCAAAGAATTACTATAGAAGACCCACTCCAGCTGATATGCAATTTGAAGAAATAAGTGATAATCATAAGACAAATTTTGATGGTAATTCCCTTGTTGAATGGAATCTTGATGGATATTCTGAATACCAAATTATACATCTTTTACAGGAAATGCTTATTTACGCTAATGCCTGCAGACAACACGGTAATACTGAAAAAGACATTGCAAGTGGAATATGTTCTTCCTTTTCTGGATAATTGCAAGGATGGTGGGATCATTATCTTACTCCAACAGATAAAATTAACATTTTAAATAATTATAAACAAAACCAACTAGGAGAGCCGATTCGCGATGCAAACGGACATTATATTAGTGATGCTGTTTACACCTTACACCTTTCTATTTACCATCACTTTATTGGCTTAACTAATAGCCTTCAAGATAAAGTTAGAGAACAACTCATGAATTTTAGGTGTAAAATCCTTACAGACTTTAGATGGTACAAAGATGTCTTCCTTTCCAAGGTCTACCAATTACATGATTGTAATAATCCTTACAGACTTTAGATGGTACAAAGATGTCTTCCTTTCCAAGGTCTACCAATTACATGATTGTAATAATCCTATTTGGAAAGAAAAATTCATTTCGGGTCTTCCTTTCCAAGGTCTACCAATTACATGATTGTAATAATCCTATTTGGAAAGAAAAATTCATTTCGGGTCTTTCACCCTTATTTGCTGAAAGAATAAGAGAATCCATTAAAGAATAAAGTAATGGACATATACCTTATGATCAAATTCCTTTCGGAGAATTAATTCAAAGAGTAAATACTATTGGCTTAAAACTTTGTAATGATGTAAAAATTAACAATCAATTAAGAAATCAAAACCTTTTAGGAAAAAGGGAATTAGGAGACTTCTGCTATCAATTTGGTTTTCAAATGGAAAACCCAAAAATTAGAAATTATAAAAAACGACAGAAACCAAGAAGTATAAAGAAAGAAGAATCTCCTAAAAGAAAGACAAAAAATACTAACAAAACCCCTACTTGTTATAAATGTAAAAAGAAGGGGCATTATGCTAATAAATGTCTACAAAAAGATCTAAGAACTAAAGTCAATGAACTTCTATTAGACTCCAAAGATTTCACTACAGAAGAAGTTGATAGATTTGTTAATACTTTGAATCTTAGTGATAATGATTCCTCAGATCATGAAGATCTACGCAACAATCTTTGCACTTGTTTTAACTTTTCTGAAAGCTCTTCGGAAACTTCCCAATTAAATAATTTAAACGAACACGAACAATTTATTCTTGACACTATTGATGCTATCACTGATTCACAAGAAAAAAGAATGCAATTATCTAAATATCTTGAAATGACCAAAAACAAGGGAAAAAATTTAACAAAAGTTCTTGAGGAAAAGAAAGACAACGAATATTTTACTTTCTCTGAAATCATAAACAGAATCCAAAATGAAAAAAAGATTGAGAATAAAGTAAATCTTGAAGAACTTCAAAAAGAACAAGGGAAAATAAGAATAGAACTTCTTGAACTAAAACAAAAAATAAAAATTTTAGAAACTTACTTAGAGAATAAAACCATAGAAGAATCTGAGGGTTTCATAGAAACAAACACCTTTGGACATGAACAAGATAACGAATTTATAAATTCTATAGAAAAATATGTTCAGAAAAAATGGAGATGTAATATCATGCTTAACATTATGAACGAATACTTTGTCCAACACACAGCCCTTATCGATACTGGAGCAGATGTAAATTGCATTAGAGAAGATCTTGTGCCTCTTAGATTTTATGAGAAAACATCTCATCTTGTCAGTGCAGCTAATGGACAAGCTCTTAAAGCCCGATATAAACTCTCTAATGTTTACATTTGCAATGGGGGTCAAAAAATCAAAACTTCTTTTGTTCTTTTCAAAGACCTCAATCAAGGTGTTATTTTGGGAACTTCTTTTATCAATAGTCTTAAGCCTTTTATTGTAGATGCTCATGGTATACATACGCAGGCTGGAGAACCCAACATCTCTTTTTGGTTTAATAAAGAACCAGAAAAGATGTTAGTTAACCGCTTATTCTCTGCTTTAGAATTTAAAGAAAAATTTATAAATGTTCTTTCTAATACTGAAGACAAAGATTGCCCAGACTCTTTTAACACAAAAATTCTTAATAATAAAAGGCACATTCGTCTTTCATATATTAAAGAATTCTCTCGTATCCTTTTTGATAAAAGATATTTTAATATACCAGTACAAATGGATGAAAATCTTCTAACCTTCTGCAAAGAAGAAATTGAAAAAAATTATCAAAGACAATTTGATAAAAGATGATTATAACACATACTGTTTGGACCCTGACAATTACTCTGAACATGGAGTTGCTAGTCAAATTATTGATTACAAGAACTCAAATAATTTGGTCTGAGTAAATTATCAAGTACCAGAATATCAAATTGAAAATATTATACATGGAAGAATTTTCTCAAAATTTTACATCAAAATGGGTTTTTGGCAAATGCAGATTTTAGAAGAAAATAGATGAAAAACTGTTCTCATTCTTCCTTTCTCCTTTTATACTTGGAGGAGAAGGCCGCCAGATTTTACTCATTTTCAACAAAAATATCTGAAATTCTTAGAACAATATCTCCATGAATGTAGACAATTTGTTATCCTGCTGCCTACTGTAATAATTCTCTTTTCAAGTAATTTTGAAGAACATTAGAAGCAACTAGAAATATTCTTTCGTTATTTTAATGAAATACTAACCTCAAATATACATTTTCAAATATTTTGCAGAAAAAAATGACTCATCAAGCTTTAATCTTGCAAGCTAAAGGAAAATCTCATTGCTTAACTCCAACATCTCCTGTAAAAAGGACAAAATACTTTTATGATCCAGGATTAAAATATCCTGATTATATGCTTGTTAATAATCTATGGAACAGCATCTGCGCTCAAGAAAAAAGGCAAATCAGAGTTCATATGACTCATCTAGTCAATCTTTTAAAAGAAAAGGATGAGCAATTTCTTAACCAGAACCATCAGCTGAAAGAAAAATTTATAGATCTTTTGTATGAGATTAATTATCTCTATCCTTATTCCAATAAAATTACTCTAACATCTCACGAGATGTTTCAAATCCTTGGAATACCGGAATACATTCAACAAAATATCTGCATGGAACGTCTTAACATAGGGCAACTATGATCTAAACTAAACATTTTGCCTTAAGATATTCAAGATGTTATTAAAGCAAAAGTTGAAGATGACAAATTGTCTCCTTTTTAAAAGATCACAAGGAACATACAATTCCTATAACAGGTGGCTCTCCCAGATTCGCGATTAATCTTCATGGCATTCCTCTTTACATCCCGCTCATAGATGCTGGACTTGTTTATGAGTTAAGAGAATCAAGGGAACCTCCATTCTTCTACAATCCGATGATGCTTAAGGGTTTACCAGCCATTATCAAGACTGTCATTTTTTTGTCTCCAATAACTCTGGCACATCTTCAATTTAACATCACAGCTACCCTACATGAACGAAGCGGTCCTGACTATTTTCCAAGCCTACAAATATGGGAAATTACTACAATCTCTGGACTTCATCCAAGGGGTTCAAATTTCAAAGAAGAATGCTATGATACAGACTTGGATCGTTTTTAAAGTACCATCTGGTTCTACAAGAAACTTGAGTTTTTATTCGAGGATTATTCCTACTTTATGACTGACGTAAAGTACCATCTGGTTCTACAAGAAACTTGAGTTTTTATTCGAGGATTATTCCTACTTTATGACTGACGGACTTCGAATTATATGCACCGACATTATTGAGTTTTTATTCGAGGATTATTCCTACTTTATGACTGACGGACTTCGAATTATATGCACCGACATTAGCATGGGTGAAACCTCACATCACAGAGCTACTAAGGCAGTCATTAATAAATGGATGACTAATCCTCCTATTGGGCCAGAAACCAGAGAAGCCTATGACGTTTTTATGGGAGCAAAACAATATCAAGAGCATGTCTTTGGTCAAGAAGAAGAACCCGCTTCTTCGAATGATATATCAATCGATAACGACTTGGTCGAGGAGGTAACACATAGATGAGATGACATGTGACATGCCATTAACTTATGGAAAAATTCATATACCATTAATATATGGTAATTACTGATTAAATATCAACGATTTAAACACTAAGTCGATCAATCATTATCTTTTTCTAAGTTTAAAAATAACTAACTTTTATATAAATTTTAGCTAAAAGAAGCAAACTGCAGATGAAATAACAGCCTACATGCCTACACCCAGCCTGCTTTGGATGCTTAAAGATGAAGCAATTTTTGTCAAAAAGGCTAGGCTACTCTACATCTCTTACGTTTTGACAAAATTAAAGTCGGTGGGACCCTCAAGCTAGAAAATATTGTAATGAATAGCAGAAATGAACAATAACGGCGTGAACAGTAATGAACAGTAACAGCAAAAAACAGAAGTAAACTAAAGTAGTAGTATTTACATAAGTGATAAGACGCTTACAAACTTGAAGGAAAACTTAAATACTTACAAACCAGACGTGCAGTGATGAACCGTAGTAGTAGTAGTAGACTAGTAGTAGTAGTAGTAGTAGAGCACACCTTTTATCTTACAAACACTCAAAAGAAAACTTAAAAACAAACCTCTCTCAGACTTAGACTAGAAACTGAAAACTTAAAAACGGAGGGATTTCTCTAGAGAGGATCAGACTTCACTCTCCAAAACGCCTCCCCTTAACCCATCAACTTCTTCTCCTTTTATATACTTCTTTTTGAACTATGCAAAAGATTCCTTTCATATCCATCAAAGCTTGAGGGTCCCACCGACTTCAATTTTGTCAAAACCTAAGAGATGTAGAGTAACCTAGCCTTTTTGATAAAAATTGCTTCATCTTTAAGCATCCAAAGCAGGCTGGGTATAGGCTGTTATTTCATCTGCAGTTTGCTTCTCTTAGCTGAAATTTATGTAAAAGTTAGTTATTTTTAAACTTAGAAAAAGATAATGATTGATCGACTTAGTGTTTATTTTAAACTTAGAAAAAGATAATGATTGATCGACTTAGTGTTTAAGTCGTTGATATTTAATCAGTAATTACCATATATTAATGGTATATGAATTTTTGATCGACTTAGTGTTTAAGTCGTTGATATTTAATCAGTAATTACCATATATTAATGGTATATGAATTTTTTCATAAGTTAATGACATGTTACAGATCAATACCATAGCAATCGTCGCCATTGTTATATGCACTATCCATAGGAGTGTCTTCAGGTTCTGGTTCTTCTTTGACAGGCTCTGATGTTTCAGTAGGTTCTGAAGTAGAGGATGCAGTATCCATAGGCCCTAGTATCATAAGCATTTCATCATAAGTTAATGATTTTAATTTTTCTTCGCTCGCATTCGGATATTGTAGCGCGAATTTATCATATATGCTTTCTTGAATAGTCTTCATATCAGAGCTTCTAGGATTCGATTTTAATCTGTATTTAGTGCTGTAGTCTAGGAGTAACGAGCTCTTTCTTCCACTTAAATAGTTTGTAATATTCCATCGATCATACCATTTTACAGAAATACTTCTTGCAAAATATGATAGTAGGTCACTGTTCAAGGTACAATCCCAATCCCATTGCATAATCCAAGGGAGACCAAATTTCATAGATATTTGAAGTATATCTCGTGGAGATAAATTCCTTCCTTGTTTTTTAAGGATTTCGTTTGGTAGTCATAGATATTTGAAGTATATCTCGTGGAGATAAATTCCTTCCTTGTTTTTTAAGGATTTCGTTTGGTAGTATTTCTTTAATTGCTCCAAATTTAGGGAGATAAATTCCTTCCTTGTTTTTTAAGGATTTCGTTTGGTAGTATTTCTTTAATTGCTCCAAATTTAGCCCAGAAGGTTTCAATAAACCAATTTGGTAGATTCATTTGATTCATAAATCGTATCCACCATGATGTCTTCCAAGATGATTTTGAATGTACAGAACATGTTCCCAAGCAGCTTGATAGTCCTAATAATTGTATTGTTAGGGACCAATATGAGTTTTCTCTTTGAACTTTCGTGGAACATTAGGGTTCCCATATGAGTTCCATTCATTTAACGGAATAATATGATATATTCTTAATTGAGAGTAGCTGTATTCTTTTCCTTGATATTTATGATGAGCAAATGCACTTTCTGTCTCTTTAAGTATCTTTTCATAGTAATGGGTGGTTTTACCAAACATTGTCGGAATATAGTAATATTCTTTAAGAAGAAACTTTGATGCCATTTCAACAGGCAATAAAGACTTCAGATCATCCATTAGAGCCTTGTACTATGACTTTATGCGAACCATCAAGCAAAATTATATTATTCCGTTAAATAGTATGACTTCATGTAACATATTTATTGCCTTATACCATCAAGCAAAATTATATTATTCCGTTAAATAGTATGACTTCAGATCATCCATTAGAGCCTTATACTATGACTTCATGTAACATATTTATTTATCGGATCAAATCATCGATCTCCAATTTGTTTATCTTAGTCATTAAATGTAGTGTTAAGTTAAAAAAATACAATAATATATTGTTGATTTGGTAATAAAAATATAACCAAATACTTAATATTTAGATGACTTGTATAAGCTCACCTAAGATCAATCATTCTTCACCTTTATTTTTTTCCTGGACAATTATACAGTAGTGTCTTTATCGTCTACATCAATTATGATATCAAGTTGGATATAATAAAGAGCAAAAGACAAGACAAGAGTCTAGAAGTATATTAGAATATACTTGGATCTAGAAATATATTAGATATACTTGGATCAATCAAATTATATTATTACTCATAATTAATATGCATTAGAGACAAAATGTGTTGACAATCTTAAACTATAAAATAGACTGTATCGGCCCTCTAACATAACTTTTTTAATGCAAGCAACTCTCAAGATTAATGTTAAAAATCTATTGGGGTTAGGAATAAACAACTAACAGGTTTGCAATTCAAGCTAGGGGAACGTATTACATTCTTAAAAATTATTAATCTTTAATTACTTTATTTGTTTATAATAACATGATCTCATTATTAACTAACTACAAGGCCTAATACATTATTATTTTTGGGTGTTCAAGGCAGGCAGAGGACCCATGTGAGTCCTCATCGTAATGAATGTTATACATGTTGTGCACGGCGGAAGCGGTCGAATCACACACAAGCCAAACAAGAGAGATCACAACCAAAATACACAAGCACAATCACCAAATAACACGAGATTTACGTGGTTCGGCAATTGCCTATGTCCATGGGGAGAGGATGAGGAGATTCCACTAAATCAAAGAGAGTACAAAGGGTTACAATCTCACAAAACTCACAAACTAACCCTCAATCAAAGCTCTTAACTTGCTCACAATATCTCCCTCTCTTAATGCTCAAAAGTCTCTAACCTCTGATTACAACCCCTCACTCTTTTTATGATTGATTCTAATCTCCATATATATAGAAAAACTAAAATCAAAACAGACTAGGAATCCTAAAACAAATATGATTGATTCTAATCTCCATATATATAGAAAAACTAAAATCAAAACAGACTAGGAATCCTAAAACAAAAAACAAAACAAATTAGGAATCCTAATAACGAAAAACTAAAATCAAAACAGACTAGGAATCCTAAAACAAAAAACAAAACAAATTAGGAATCCTAATAACTTCATGTTACCAAAATAGATTAGGAATCCTAATGACCTCATGTTACCAAAATAGATTAAGAATCCTAATAGATTAGGAATCCTAATAGATTAGGAATACTACTATCCAACAATTCTCCACCTCGGCAAAATATTCCCAAAACTGAGCCGACACCAACATGGGCACCAATGCGTTGTCTCATCAAATTCGGCTGCACCAATGTGGTTGCCTACGTACCCTCTCTTCCAAGGGATCAAGCCGCCCGTAGTTTATTCAAATGGCCTCCAAAGGCCCCAAACAAATAGAAGAGCACGCAACCCTCCTCCATCATCGCCAAATCTGCGACTGATAGCACCTCCAATGACCTCAAACTGAAACGATCCAAACACCTCCACCTGAGGTGAACCAATGGTCATGTCCAAACTGTGCCTATCAGCTGCACTCAAATCAATCAACCTTTTATCTGCATTCAAATCAACACGATTCCCAATCTGTGTCACATCAGCTGGAATCCCAAATGATGCAGTATGATCTGGAGTCTTCACCCAACGTGGAGTAGCATCACTCTCCACCCGCTGTGATGTCCTAAAGATCTGATCACCACTCTCCACCTCTGAATCCTAAATGTGCTATCAGATCAAATCTCACATCCACGATGTGACCAAGTGTTGGGTAGCCAAACATCCGACGTAACCCAAAATCTGAAGCAGCTCCACCAGATCCTATATCTCTATATGCAGCACTCGGCAACCTATACATAAGATGACCCAAACATGACGTAGCCCGCACACCAATGCCAATGCTCGATATCAAACGTCGATCCTCCTCCAGAAAGGAACAGCTCCCAAAATCTGCCATCTCATCACGTCGCCTTAAAGTTTTCATACCAATGAAGTATCTCCTATTGCCGTGAGCTCGGCATAATCGCAAGAAAGAACCCCTACCATAATCAGAACGTCGGGTTACCTTTCTATCAACACACTTCCTCCATTTGTTGTGGGCTTCTAGGACTTCACACCAATGAGATTTGGTTGCAACCCACTAATGCCTAGAACAATCCCCAATTGTGAAAACCACATACCTATTACCTCCTAATGATGCTCTCTTGGAAGGCCCTCAAATGCCTGAATGAACACCCCTCAGAAGACCCCTCGAATGATGGATAGAAGTGCCAAACTTCACCTCAGTCTTCTTGCTCATACCAATGGATTCACAGGACTTCAAACTGCAGGTCAAAGCACTCCTCAACAATCTATATACGACATTACCAATCAAATAACCCAGCATCAAATAACGTCACAGTCTAGCTGAATCTGATGAAGTCATCTCCCTATCAATCGTCGTGATTCCAAGCAAATAATACAAATTACTCCTTCTGACGTCTTTCATCACAATCATGGACCCCAATGTGACCTTCAAACGTGCATCCACCAAGGTCATCCTATAGCCTGCTGTCTCCAAAGCTCCAAGTGAAATGATGTTCATCTTCAATTGTGGAACGAACCTCACTTCATTTAACTCCCGAATCACCCCATCACTCATCCTAATCTGAATAGTACCAATACCACCAATAGAGCATGCATGTCCATTACCCATGAGCACGACATCCTCTCTTTCCAACTTCTAAAAGCTGAAGAACCAATCCCTCCTATGGCAAACGTGGTAAGAAGCACCCGAATCCAACATCCACTCTGTAGAGTTAGCAACACAAACTGACGGTAGTGCGGATAACGAATAGCCTGAAGAATCCGAATCTGAATTGTTGCCACTAGTCTTGACAACATTCACCTCTGAAGCTTGTACAACTTTCCCCTTATTCTTCTCAGTTCGATCTAACTTTGGGCATTCAACTTTCCAATGTCCATTTTCTTTACAAAACACACACTGATTTCTACGAATCACACTATGTGCACCTCTAGACTGCGACCTCCTGCTTCGGTTTGAATCATGGCCTTGAACTACTAATGCATCTCCCGATGCCTTCTCGGAGGACTCATCAACACTTTTCTTTAACTCATAATTCACCAACGCTGAGGTCACTTCCTTATAGCTAACAGTAGTTCTTCCATTAATCATAGTGAGAACAAAGGTACCATAATCATCCTCGGGCAACGAACACAAAAGTAGCATCGTCTTGTCTTCATCCTCAATCATAATATCCACATTGGCCATGTCTGAAAATAGCTTCGTGAAGTTGTTAACATGCTCCCTGATGGAAACTCCACTCTTCATCTTGAACTGGTAAAACCTCTTCTTTAAGTGAAGCCGATTCTCAATGCTCTTAGTAAGATACTTTTCATTAAGTGTTTTCCACATCTTCTTCGCCGACGTCTCGTTCATCACATCATAAATAAGATCCGACGTCAAGCATGACCGAATAACTCCACACGTCCTACTATTCATCTTCTTCCAAACCATTTCTTCTATATCAGCAGGTTTCTCTTGCAACTCAAGAGTCTCTTTCAAGTTTTGAGCGTTCAACACATCCATCACTTGGCACCTCCACCAACCGAAATTGATCTTGTCATCAAACTTCGGATCATCGATCTTCATGTTATTGATGCTCAAACTATGTATCGTCTTCGTAAGAGACGACCCTGATATGCTTGTTTCACCCATGTTGTAGATCTAACTCTTCAAATAAAAATCCAACAGCGAATCCTTCGAACAAGCTCCCAAGTCCAACCCGGAGCTCTGATACCACTTGTTGTGCGCGGCGGAAGCGGTCGAATCACACACAAGCCAAACAAGAGAGATCACAACCAAAATACACAAGCACAATCACCAAATAACACAAGAGATTTACGTGGTTCGGCAATTGCCTACGTCCACGGGGAGAGGATAGGGAGATTTCACTAAATCAAGGAGAGTATAAAGGGTTACAATCTCACAAAACTCACAAACTAACCCTCAACCAAAGCTCTCAACTTGCTCACAATATCTCCCTCTCTTAATGCTCAAAAGTCCCTCTAACCTCTGATTACAACTCTCCTCACTCTTTTTATGATTGATTCTAATCTCCATATATATAGAAAAACTAAAACCAAAACAGACTAGGAATCCTAAAACCAAAAACAAAACAAATTAGGAATCCTAATAACCTCATGTTACCAAAATAGATTAGGAATCCTAATAGATTAGGAATACTGCTATCCAACAATACAAATTAAGTACAAAGAAAAAATGAGGGTTGATCAATGGTGTAGTTAGTAAGGGGGAAACTCCAGCAGCTTAATTTGGGTATGTAGATATATTATAAATGAAGATGAAGAATGATTGTTTTGAAAATAGTGAGTGTGTGGGGGTAATTAATATACTTTTTATTTGTGTGGTTTTCTTCGTTCATTTTTAACATATCCATGGTCCTGTGGATATATATAGCTATATCATTGCTACTCTTTTTTGGTTTTGTGGAAGAGTTTGGGTGTAAAATAAAATAAAATTATCTAATCCGATTAAAGTAGGACCATATAGGTTAAGCCCATGCATGAAATTTATTTTAACTAACATCCATATGTAAGTATTACAGACTTACAGTTTGTATTGAGATCTAAGGTACGTGTGAGATTCTCTTTAATTTTTATACAAACATTATCTACTTTAATAATAGTAGTATAATTAAACTTTGTGATCTGAAAAAAGATTAAATATACAATAGCATTAATTACTTTAAAATAATCTAATCTAATCTAATAAAAAAATAGACGAAAGTGATGTGAAAATTATTGCAATTTCATAATTCATAATTTTTAAATAATCTAATCTAATTCAATAATTTAATCTAAAAAAATAAAAAATAAAGACGCGTACATGTTGAAGGAGATGAAAGTGCTATGAAAATTATTACAATTTCTCATATGAAAAAATGATCAAATGTACAATATAATTAATTACTTTAAAATAATATAATCTAATCTAATATAAAGAAGAAAAAATACTATTGTTTGTTTTCTTGTGAAGGGAAGCAATGACGAGAAGAGGATATAGAGGTGTTGGTCACGATGTTGGATTGGAGCACTTGCAATTGAACCTCTTTTTACCTCTTTTTTCCCCTAAGAAAAATAATTAGGGTTAGGCAATCACCATGAATTCAGAACTTGGGTCTCTTATTATTTTAATCTTCATATTAATTAAGTTTGGGTTTCTTTTGTTTTTTTCTATCTGCTGCCTAAAAACGTGGAGAGAGAGGATCATTAATTGCTTATTTTGTTAATTTTAATTATACCCTTTTGTAATAAATGAATATCTTTATTTTGATCAAGATCTTTATCAAGATTCACGATCCAACGGTTAAAAACTTTAGTGGACCGAGCACTCAGTCCACTTAAGTTGACAAGTGTTAGTGTTTCCCCCCCCTCTCTCTCTCTCTATATATATATATATATATATATATATGAGAAAAATGTGTATGTTTGGTACCAAACACAAGTTTTTATGCTTGGTAGTGAGGTGATATATTCCTCTCCACTCATTGAATCGGGGCCAACATTCACATGAGTTGGGGAGTGGTTGGGAATTGGAATGAGTGGATGAGAATATGACACATCACTACCAAACACAAATTATAAAAAATGGGTATACTTGGTACCAAACATAAGTTTTTGTGCTTAGTAATGATGTGACATATTCCCCTCCATTCATTGAAATTGGAGACCCATGTTCACATGGGATGAGGAGTGCATGAGGATATGCAACCATTTGAATGAGTGGAGGGGATTATGCCACTTCACTATCAAGCATAACTTTTTGTGCTTGATACCAAGCATACCCATTTTTCTCATATATATATATATATATATATATATATATATATAACTATATATATATATATATATATATATATAGCAGACTCCTATCAACTTAAGTTGATGTCCATCAAAGTTTGTAGCTACGCATTTATTAATATAAAACACATTTTATATAATACAAGGATCCCTAGGCAATATAAGTGGGGTTTAAAACTTTGGTGGACACACTATTCACTATCCACTTAATTGACACAAGTTTTCACCTATATATTTATTATATATATATATATATATATATTATATATATATAATAATATATATTATATATATATAGTATATAATTTTAGTTCATTTTATTTTTTGAACTAGCTTGAAATACATACAAGTAGAACTCGGTCCTGGGTTGTTCTGTTGCGCTATTGAAGTTTTTTCCCCAGTTGATTAAAAATCTTTTAAGTTATGGTGAAAAGTAAGAGTGATAATCCTGTAATTCCCAACTTGACCTGAGTTGAAATGATTGCAGCTAAGGTATGCCGCCGGGGTGAAGGATATGCTGGATAAATATTTCAAAGGAGAGGACTTTCCTCCACAAAACTACATTGTGAAGGAAGGGAAACTGGCAAGCCAGTATCTCTGAATGAATTGCACTGTAACTTTTCAGATAAATTTGGACAAAGGGTTTTAAGTAGAGAGTGTGATGCTTCACAAGAAATAAAACTTTATATTTGCTTGTTGTGAACCCTCAAATTTTCTCAGTTTCATCAGTTAATAAAATAAGTCCTGCTCCTGCTTTACTAGAAATGCTTACTTATATATCTGATTGTATCAGAGCTTTTCTTTTTGGCATTGAAGAAAGCATAATGCAGGATGTGATTTTGTTGAGAGAATTTCTATGGGAAGGCTTGATGAGTTACATATGTTGGTTGCATTAGAACTGTCCTTTGGATTAGATGCAATTTTTTGCGATATTAGTTTCACAGATCTTTCATTTTTTTAAAACTAGCTGCACAAAATTTTCAAGTGTTTTGAAATTAGTTGGAGATTGGTTGAAATTGATGAAATATTGTCATCTTTAATATTTATGGATGTAATAATAACTATAATGTTATGCATGGTGCTGATTATGGTTGTTGATTTTGGAGAAAAAGAATTCCCCCTTCTCCGAATTGAAGCGGGAAATGAGAGTGGTGGGCTTAAGTTGGTTGGGTTTTACCGAAGAGGGTCTAACTGAATTGATAAACTGTTTACAAGTAGTATTTCAAAGTATCAGGTTTTACTTTCTTGGAAAGTACACACTGGAATTTAATCTTCTAAAATACTAGAGATCGTGTATTGATGGGGGTGTCCTTTAGCCACACTTGGCGGTTTGATACCCATGATACGAAGGATCATGTGGAAGTTCTCTCGTCATACCTTAAAAAATAACGTTGGTTGAGTTTTATATTACGAGGGTAATTTGATAATTATGAACAAGTAACATAAGTGTATTAACAATTTGGACGGTAAATGTAATTGAAGGAGTAATCTCTCAAAACACTTAAAAAGATTATATCTGGGGAAACCCCTATGTTTGTCCATGTTTCAATTGTCAATTGTACGTTTGGTTTGGGCCAGTAGATAAGAATATCTTTATAAAGAGTTGGGCGGTGGTCATTATCAAAAATTTCTTTATGGACCATGCTTGCACTAGAGTCCTAGATAATATGGTAGGTCTAAGTCATTATTTGTTTCCTTATCCAAAATAGCATAATGCTAAAAGATTCTTTGTCTTGCTTTATCTCAATGAAAATGAAAAATGAAAATGAAAATGGAAATGGAGGAGTTTTTTTAAGACCATGTTTGGTAAACTTTATAAATAAACCTTTTTATGAATATATAAAATCATTCTTGGTAGTCTACCGCGAGTGACTCAGACGGTTAGGAGGTTCCAATATGATTTTCACGGTCTTGATTGGATTCTGGTTGGATTTTGAAAGACGAAAAAGAAAAAAACATGCTTTGTAAGAGGGCAGAGCAGTCAAACTATAAGTCAACCCTCTTATAAGGCTAAAAAACAAGCTGAAATATCTCAACTTATAATTCTTCTTATTTATAACTAAAAATAAGTAAATGAGTAAAAGTTATAAGGCATGATCTTTGGCCCCTAATAAGTATACCCCTTAAAATCTCTTCCACTGCATCATAACATTTAAATTTGGGGGTGGGGGTTGAATATTATTATATTTTTGGGAACTATGAGAATTCCTCATTGCTTATAATAATTTTATACTTTAATATTCATTCACAGATATTAACTATCTTTTTTATGGATTGAAATATGTACAAGCACATATATCATTCAAAATTTGTTTATTTAATGCTTGATTGATAGGATTTGGAGTTAAATTGTTCTATTATCATTTTAAATTTTTATTTATGACTGATGGGATTTAAAAAGTTTATATACAGGACTTCTCTATTAGTCTCTTAAATCATTAAAATTTTGAGATAGTCACTCAACTCATGGAAAATTACTATTAGATCGCCCAATTCTAATAAGTTATCTCAAATTTAGTCAATCAAGTCATTTATATTACTGTTAGGTCTCTAAATTCTCATAAATTGTTATAAATTAATCCGTCTAATCAGGAATAGCAACTTTAATGCATAAACATGAGGGTACTTAACAGCAATTTTAATAATTTGAGGGATTAATTTCCCAAATACAAACTTCTCTACGTACGTTGCTTCACAAAAGCTGCACGCTACTTTTGAAATTCAGTGGTATATTTGTAAAAGCAGATTATGACCTCCACCACTAAAAAATCATCCACGTGTACGGTCAATAAGCTTCAATCGGACGGTTGCTACCTCTTCTCTTTCCCACTAAAAAGCCCTCTTTCTCTCTCCTCTCACTTCCACCCCCAAATCTCCCGTCTCTTCTCGATCAAGAAAACGTAAGTTTTTCAAACCCTAATTTTTAGATCTCATCAAAAAATTCCGTGATTTACTCCTTTTATTTACTACGATCTAGGGTTATATTTCTTTGATCTCTATCTTAACTTTGTTTAATCGTAGAAATTATTGACCTGTGGTTCTTCTGTGATTTCATTTTATAGATTATTGTTATGATTCCTTATTAACGTTAATATCGCTCCTATTTCAATTTACGAGGGTTTTGCTTTATCGTTAGATGGTAATCATGTATCGTGAGTAAAATTAAAGGTAGATTATGTGATGTATTAATTTTGATGTGATATATTTATGTGATATGTGATTTTTTTTTGTTGAGTTATGAGGAGTTTGCTTAAATCATAGAGAGTAATCGTGTGTCAATTAAAAATGGAGTATGAGATGCGGACTTGATGAATGCTATCCAAGGCTTTTTCCCATCAAATTTGGCTGGGCTAAGGCGTGTGCTTTGAAGAAGGGGAATTTTGATGTGGGCAATGGTGATAATTTATGTAAAGATTGTGTCTTTTTTGAGTTATGGGAGTTATTCTAAAATTATGCAGAGTAACCACGTAGCATGAGTAAAGTTAAAAATAGAGTATGCAATGCGAACTGACTACATGCTATCAAGGTTTTTCCCAACAAACTGGGTTGGGCTATGATGCATACTTTGAAAATAGAGATTTACATGTGAGCAACGGTTAAAAATTGAGAATTTTAATTGGGCATGCTTTGAAGTTTATGAACTTTGATGTGGCAGTGTGGGCAATTGTGATAGATTTATGTAAAATTGCTCCCATATCGAGTTATGAAAATTTTCCTTAGATCATAGAAAAACAATCACATATCATGAGTAAGATAAAAAACATAATACGAGATGTGGACTTTATGTCATTTTGGGTATTTCCATAAAAATGGGGTGGACAAAGGCGCATGGTGTGAAGGTTGAGATGTATAACTCTATCATTATATTGCATTATTGCATGCTCATTAGTTTAAACTTCTATTATATTACATTATTGCACATAATGACATGGTACTCGCTTTATCATTTTTAAATAACTTAATTTAAATTTTTTCAATTTACTGTCCTTCAAGTGGAGTTTGTTTTTGAGGATAGTAAACTTTCAATTTTGTTTGAGTTTCGACCTTCCACTCAAACTTGTTTTGTCATTTCTAATATTGTCTTCAAGGTCTCATATGTATCATTTTAGTTGGTCAGTGAGTAATGTTGGCAATCATGTCATGTTGTTCTTCTAGGTCTGAATCTATAAAGTGTATGGGCCAACTTTCAGTGTTTAAGTTATACCAATTTGATAATCCTGATACATGACTGAAATGTTTAAAAATTTTCCTTTTCTCTAGCATCCAATGCTTCAGGTATGCTCATTTTTAGGACAGTGTTTAGTTGAGCTTCATTCATGGCCACCAGAGGCATTCTTACTTGCTGAATTTTAGTTTTTGTTCTTCAACTTTTGTAGGCTAGGATGATCGCTGGGTCCTTTATCTTTGTAGGGTGTCACCATTTTGATATGGTTATGAAAGTGACATGATACTGTTATAAACTGTAGAGAGTCTATCTAATGAAAATCCATGTTTGGAGTCATCTGAAAGCATCTCTGAGAATATTTGATATTGTCCACATTTTTCAGTGTTTACACGAATGGCTGATTCAAAGACTGGTCTGAGGAAACCTGTTTTTACCAAGGTTGATCAACTTCGACCTGGTACCTCTGGTCACACATTAACGGTGAAGGTGGTGAGTTCAAAGATGGTGTTGCAGAAGGGACGCCCTGATGGATCTCAAGTTCGTCAAACGCGTATTGCTGAATGCCTGGTTGGGGATGAGACCGGAATGATTGTATTTACAGCCAGGAATGAGCAAGGTATATGTGATCTTTGAAGCGGTTATTGCTCACATCCTTTAATACATCACACTTGTAGATGCATTTAATTTCATGGTTATCAGATTTTATTGAATTTTAGTTCTATTCAAATTGTATGTGTACATGACTTAACCATGGGGCTTTTATTTTTATTTATGAGGTACATCATGAATATAATTTCTCCATTTTGTTCATTAGGTTTAGTTGTTTATTATTGTTAAATACCGTTCATGTTTTAATCATTATTTTTCCATTTATCGTTGGCTAACTGCTTGAATGTTGAATATGCTCTTTTGCTTGCTTTGTCTATTACAGAACTATTTAACATGATACAGTTTCTGGAGATATTGAAGATACATTATAGTATGAGTTCAAGTCTATGAGAGCTGGTTAGCAGTGAATAGTGATGTAAGAACACTTTTGTTGCGACATGGAGCATTGGTGTTCCCTTTTTGGTAAAAATCTTGTTTTTGGGGTAGAAGTTCTTTAATGTTAACTTTTGTTTTTCAACGGCATGGCTGGTTAGTGGGAGAAGAAATAAATTTAAAGCCGTGTTCTGCATTTTCCAGTAAATTTATCCATTATTGAAGCTTTGCACCATGAATGATCCTGAAATTTTGCTCTCGCTTTTGGCTCTTGTTTAAGAAAAGCAAGTTTATGAGGCATCGAAACAAGTTTTATTTTCAGGATCAGTTCATGAACTCAGAACTTGTGTCTACGCTCATTTACCGGTAGCTGCCTAATGTAATACTTAGAAGCACTAAAGCACATATAAACGTTTAAAAGACTCCTGTTGTGAAGAACCTTATATAATGCGATATCTAATGAGAAGCAGGATCAACTGCAGGATGGAAACTCATGCACCTGCTCCCCCTCAACCGCCATCAGCACCAAATCCTCACACCCACTCACACACAGCAGTCCCCACCCCCTGCACTTTATAAGCCAGACCTTGGTGGCTTAATATGTTTTAAAACTTTTCTTTTGCCCTAAGAAGTTGTAGTTTTAAGTGTGATCAAAATGAGGAAAACCATATTTTAATGATTTGAGCATATGGAATGGAGAGACTGTTGAGTATGGCATCTCATGAGGAATCAGTGGTAAACCTAAATGAAAATAGGATGTAGTGATCAAAAGGTATATGATGTGTGTGAACTTTAATGGAGGAGTTGGTCCAGAACAAAGCTGAATGGACAGAACGGAGAAAAAGGATGTGTGTGGTCAAGCCCTGGGATTTGAGATAAAGACTTTGATTTTTTTCCACCCTAATTTACCCTTCCAATATACTTGATATTTTATTCCTTTTTGTTTCTATTTATCAGCTTTGCCTTACCTGTCTTAGAAAGTTGGATAGAGGACCTGTTAACCTATGGACAGTAACATATTAGCAACAATTCTCTGCATATGCTCCTTATATCATTATCATTATGTTTCATTTACATGTGGATGTTATTTGCAGTGGATCTCATGAAGGAAGGGCAACAGTAACCCTTCGAAATGCAAAGATTGCTAATATGTTGCTAATATGGACAGTAACATATTAGCAACAATTCTCTGCATATGCTCCTTATATCATTTTCATTATGTTTCATTTACATGTGGATGTTATTTGCAGTGGATCTCATGAAGGAAGGGGCAACAGTAACCCTTCGAAATGCAAAGATTGACATGTTCAAGGGATCAATGAGGCTTGCGGTAGACAAATGGGGACGTGTTGAACCAACAGATGCTGCCAATTTTACCGTTAAAGAAGACAATAACCTATCTCTGGTGGAGTATGAGCTGGTGAACATTGTTGAAGAGTGATAACTAGTCAACCAAGTCATGGTAGCTGATAATATTTGTTGATGGAATCAAATTGCAATGTGAAGATATTTAATATGTTCTTGGTGAATGAAACTGCAAGGAAAAAAGCTCTTTTTTAGGATCAAATCAACGGTGGATAGATGCTATCAGATGACCCAGTGAGATCTTGCAACATGCAATAATCCAGTTCTGGGATGCCTCTAGCCAGCTGAAAGCTAGTGATTGCATTCATGAGCATACTTTCTATTTATATGAACTTATTTTGTTGTCCTTAATTGTTATCGTATATGGGATTTGCTCTAGGGTGTCGGTGAGACAGTTATTTCAACATGTATTTTGCATTCTGAGATCAAAATGTTGCCATTTATTGTTTTAGTGATTTCGAAGGTGCATCTAATTAAAAATGGTTGAGTTGCTTGTGTGAAGATTATCTGCATGTTGAACTTGCCGCTTTTGTACATGACCAAAATTCAGATTGTCCTTGTTTCTTTCAAGGGAAACGGTTATACGTACAACCTCAGGTTGCTGTGCCTTTTTTCTTAGATTTCTAATTGATGTGTTTTTGCGAGGTGGATTGCGTTGGCTCTCCACTAAGTCTATTAATATGAGAATGTGATTATGTTCAGATTCAGCTACTTATTTTGGATGATTTCAGGTGAAGGTGGACACAGATGTATGAATTCGTGAATGACGTTCGTTGTTTTTTTTTTATTTTCGAAGGCTGATCACCCCCACGCCCACCTCTCTCTCTCTCTCTCTCTCTCGGTATCTCGTGTCAAGACGCATCAAATTGGAGCGGAGGCAAGCCTTATTCAAGTAAATTTCTGGTGATAAAACTGTAAGCTGTTAATTTTTGTTATAAGCTCTGCTCTCTCCGCAGCTCCAACTTAAAAGAGGATAAAATGATCATTTCTCATGTAAAGTATTGGTGAATTCTCAAGTTGCTCTCCAAAAGTATCAATTTGCATTTTTTCCCCTTAAACTATGTATATGTGCCCAATGTGATAATTTTAGGAGCATACAGTCAATATTTAACAGATTAATGATATGATAGTAGTTCTTTTAAATTTTTGTATTTTTTGCGACCCATAAATAAGTTTTTAATTCATAAAAAGCGTTCAACAATTAATGAAGACTTTTGAGAGAAATTAGTTAAACAATTTTTTTTTAGTTTGGAGAAAAGGTAGATAAAGTAATTAAAACTCATGAAGAAATAAAAAACCACAGTCACGTCATTAATTTGTTAAATATTTGAGTGTAGACTCACAAGATCACATACCATAAGAGGAAACTTGAGAGCTCATCAATACTTTCAAGTGGGAAATGATCATTTCATCCAACTTAAAATTATAGCTTTCTGCTGATAAAACGGTAAGCCGTTAACTTTTTTTTGTCATAAGCTGTGCTCTCGTTGGTGCTCCAACTCTCTGAACAATCCAGTCTCACACATTTCCCATTTGGAGGAAAAGCTGAAAATTTGTTACAACAAACATCTCATGTCCTTTATTTTCCAAATATTGAAAAATAAAATAAAATAAAATAAACTCAACAACCAATTTTCATGCTATTAATTAGCGACCGTCCACGTCATATCCCCCTCGAAGATCCAATGGCACACCTCGATCTCTCCTGGCCCTGATCCGAGGGCCAGGAACGCCCCGTGCGACGCGCTCCAGTCCGACGTGTCCAGGTGGCAGATCGCCACCCCGCGATTGATCTTCTCCTTGGCGACGGCGTCGAGGATGTCGGCTTCGTAGACCCTCACCTTCGGCACAGAGTGGCAATAGTAGACCAAGTACGGGAACAGGCTCTGGTGACACGACACGGACTCGGTCACGTCGCTCCCGTTGACGTTCCCGATCAGTATGTCCTCCCCCGACCCCCGCACGTTGTCGGTC